TATATCGCCATTATACGTGGTACAGGCATATTCCTAATACACTTCTAGTCTATAGACATATAAGAAATAAAGATTGCTCGTTCTTATGTACAACGCTGAAGCACAAGTAGGAGACACACAATATCTAACGTGGGTATCTGTCTCTCTCGCACATTCCCACCTATGAAAATGTACGAGAGAGACAAAAACCCACGTTCGATGTTGTGTCTCCTTTTACTTGTGCTTCAGCGCCGTACATAAAAAGGAGCAGTCTTTATTTCTGCATAGCGACTCGAACAAAAAAAACGAGCCCTTGCATACACGCCAAGGCAACGAACTGCTGGCACACACTTATGAGTAATATATAGGGCACGGTAGTAAATACGAAGACTCTACACGGTAAATCGACCCCCTCCCCCCAAGAAAAAAAACCAACAAAGGATATCAAACTTGATGTAATGGGCGCAAAACAAAAAAGAGATGAGCGGCAATTAACTTTAAAACCAAAGAATGAGAGCGCAGTCACGAGTCTTTCATAAACCTTGAAATGCTTGTACTTGGCATCTAATTTTCCCAGCGTACAACCACGACTAAATGTTGGTACAGCATGCCTTAACAAGTTGTCACTTGTTACTAATGACAAAGAAAAAAAAAGAGAAAAAGAGATAAAGTAACATGGTGAAAATAAGATAAAGAGAGCGAAAAGGAGGTATGAATAGTAAAAAAATATAAATTCTTACCATTTCTCTTACAATTTACAGGTTTGTAAGAGATATTTTTTTAACATTCTTCATTATAATGAAACACGGATTCCTTGGTTATTTTGAAAAGTTTGGCTTCTAAATCTAAAGAAACTTTTGCTATGAATTTGCAATCACACTTTTTGTTTTTACTTTTTTTCAGGATTTTTGGGATTCTTAATCCCAGTATATATTCCAGAACATTGACACACGTACCATAAAGAATGGTATCAGTGATGCCAGACGGGACGGCATTCCCCTTAAATCAGAGTTCAGTACTTTAGAGACTCACAGCCTATAGGCTGGCCCTACTAGAGTACAGCTCGAAAGAGTATCTACCCCAGTTCCCCAACTCCTATACTCTCCCTCTCCATGTAATGTGCATGGTTACCTCAAGCCCGCTCAAGCAGCTTATATATTAAATCTGTACCCCCTCATTTACGACACGTCGTAGCCGAGTGGATAGATTTATTTTCGTTTTTGCTGGTGGTACCTTTGACTCGCATCTGCGTATTTTTTTTTTTTTTTTTTTATTTTTTTTTTTTTTACAGTAACTGTTTTGTTACATTTATTATAATTAACTAATGCTTTTAAAAACTACGACGACAAGTAATTTTTATTTGAGTTTTATGAATTGACGGGTCCAAAAAAAAGCATGTTGTAACTATTGTGTCTGTGAAAAAGTAACAATACTAACTGCATTCTAATTAACAGTTGTGACACCTCTAAATAGAGATCAATAATATTCTGTAAGTTCCGATAAGTAAAAACAAGTGATGCAATTCTTCCTTTTCTTCTTAGTATTGATATCAATTGATAAACTAACGCCTTAAAGTAAATAATCCAGTAAGCGCGTGTGTATTGGTTATAACTAATTTACAATGTTAAATTATAAACGAGCATCCTTAACTCAAACACGTAGCATACTCAAGTTTTTCCGTTTTCAATAAACAATAGCGTTAATTAAACAAGTAGCTCTAGTATTTTTGTTTTAAATAAATTAAATTCAATTCAATTAATAAACAAGCACCTTTACAGGAATGTTTGAGTAATCCCAGGTCTTGTTAATTTTTATTTATCATAGTGTTAATAAACAAACAAGTGCTTATAACAAACTGACCTAGTAGGTTCTAGTCTTTCCATCTTAAATCAAATAAAACGTCAATTAATACACAAACGCGCACCTTCAACAGAAGTATCCAGAACGCTTTAGTCTTCCCCATTTTAATTTATTGTAATGTTAACTAATTAAAAAGCGCTTGTAACATAAATGACCCAGTACGATCTTGTCTTTTCATACTTGAAATAAATGAAAATGTCAATTAATAATCAAGCACCTGAAACAGAATCATCTATTAGATTTAAATCTTTCACACACACAATTATTATGTAAGTAATTAAAGAACCATGTATAAACAAATGATCTAGTACGCTTTAGTCCTCCAGTCTTTAATAAATTAAAAGACAAATTACAATCAAGCCCAATAAAGAAATAATCCAAGGCGCTATCGTCGCTTAACTTATTTTAAATAATGCTAATTATAGAGTGAGGGATCTCGATTGCACAACGCATTACTATCATGTATAATATTTTTACATTGCATGGATATATTGTCACATAAATACTGTGATTTATTTACGTCTTAATATTTTGAAGACTAATAGTAATATTCATCAGTAACCAAACTTTTTTTTCTAATGTTCGATATTAAGTATTAAATTATTATTATTGGTTATAAATGCAATAAATAATTTGTATGGAATAAAATATAATAAAAGAATTTTGGTGGACTGCCTTACGTTATCCAGATAAATTTTTAAAGAGCAGTTCAAGGGTAAAAAAAATTAATACTTTTTTACTATAGACAATTAAATATTATCAATATAAATCACGTATTCTTTGATGTTTCACATCTGTCGGGGGTCTTAAGACCCCCGACAGATGTGAAACATCAAAGAATATGTGATTGATATCAATCACATATTCTCTATATGAATATGTAAAATTACTTATTTTTTTACAAAAAAAAAAAAATAGCACATTTTGTTATTAAAACAAAAATGCTTTATTATTATTTTCTAATTTCACATTTTTCTTAATAATAATTTATTGAAATCATTACGAACAAAAATAATGTGCCCAGAATTTTTTAAAAAAAGGGCATTTGGTTGTTGATAAACCTTACTAAAATTCTTTAGAGTATAAGGACGTTAATAAATGACGGTATTAATGTGAGAATTTATCCATACAACATAAAAATATCATACATAAATAAATAAACATAACAGCAATACACAGTAAAATAAAAACCCTTAACAGATAACTAGCATCATCATTTACAATTAACAAAAAGAGACTTAAGCACACATGATTATTCTTTTAATGGGCTTGATTGTTAATTAAAATATTATTTATTACAAATGAGAAGACTAGAATCTACTTGGTCATTTATAATACAAGCGCTTGTTAATTAACTAACATCACAATAAATTAGAATTGGGAAGACCATCCAGCGTACCGGATAATTCTGTTGAAGGTGCTTGTGTATTAATTGACGTCTTCATTCGTTACAAATATAAAAAGACAAGATCGTACTAGGTCATTTATGTTATAAGCGCTAGTTAATTAACGACGATCTTTTTTTTAGAGCCATCAATGTATAAAACTCAAACAAAAATTAATTGTAGATGCAGTTTTTAAAATCATGAATTAATTTTAATAAATGTACTAAAACAGTAACTGTGAAAAAAAAAAACAAAAAAAAATACGCACATGTGATTCAAAGGTACCACCAGCAAAATGAGCAAAAACGAAAATGAATCTATCCACTCACCTATGACGTGTTGTATATGAGGGGGTACAGATTTAATATTTAAGCTGTTTGAGCGGGCTTGAGGTAACCATGCACATCACATGGAGAGGGAGAGTATAGGAGTAGGGAAACTGGGGTAGAGACTCTTTCGAGCTGTACTCTAGTAGCGCCAGCCTATAGCCTGTGAGTCTCTAGAGTACTGAACTCTGGTTTGAGGGGAATGCCATCCCGTCTGGCATCACTGAATGGTATACGAATCGCGAGTTATCGGATAGCAGACGGATGTTCGTCTTAACTAGTGTTTTTTTTTACACTTTTATGGTACTTTACGACAAAATTATCAAGTTCTTGGAAGCTCGAAAATGTTAGGCCTGCTTTGATTTCTATTTTCGAACTCTTTGCATGCAACTAACTAAGTGGATAGAGTATAAATGTGTTATACACTCAAAAACCATGCGCAACAAGAGACGCGTGGTGCGTGACTGATATCAAATTCGCCATCCTCATAACGAGAAGTGTCATGACACGTGAGTGGAGAGCCAAAGCTGGTCCATGCTACTTCCAAAGTTCCAATGCAGCCTCACATGAATTATACTTGAAATTTGAAGTTTGATAAATTTTTATCAATAAATACTACTTTATAGAGAACAAAAATCTACATCTTTTTTTGTTTCATTACGGAAGTGCTCTCTAATCCTCCTGCTTTTCACCGGAGGAGAATTTGCACCGCAGCGTTTTCTGATTTCAAGTAGGTACACATTTATACCTTGGGTTTGGTATACAGATACCGTATCATAAGCTCATATGCGCGTACCCATTGTTCTTTGGATTTCAGTTTTTGTTTAGCGTCAAGTAGAAGTGTAAATTTTATATTGTTGCTAAAAGGCAATGGCTAGTTAACGTTTTGTTGAAAACGGAAAAAGCCAAGCAAGTGAGGTTCACAAAATAGTATTAAGCGAATAGTTTGATACTTAGGAGGAGTTTGTACGAGCTACACAATATCAAATTGTTGCTAAGCAATTGTACACAATCTGTAAATCTGAGAAGTTCAAGAAAGAGGAGAGTAGTAATAAAAAATTTACATACAAATTTGTCTCGTCCACTTGCAAGTACGGAAACAATTCGCTCCAAGAATATATCTACCCAGCTGAAAATTCCACATAAGATCGTACATAAGTTCTTGCGTAATTTCTTATGTAATTTCTTATGTAAGTTCTCATATAAGTTCTTTTAACAGAACTTGTGTCAGAATTTGTACACGAACTTGCATTTGCTTATCAACCAAGAACTTACATGAGATTTTATGTCATTTCTTATGTAAGTTCTTATAAAAAATCGTGTATCAGTCGTTTAAACGTATTTAATTACTATATAGATACATACATGGTAAATTTCAAAATTTTTCTTGCATAAAAGCTGTTAAAATAGCTGATATAAGTTAGTAAATACAAAAAAAAGTATCTCTTACCTCCACTAAGAGAATTTGAACCTGGTCCTGGGAATTTCTAGGCAAGTGTCTTACCGGCTTGGCCAGAGTGGATTCGATATATGGAAAAGAATTGACGCCCTCATAAGGTACACCTAAAACTAACATTAATGTTATTAAGTTCTTAAGTTATTGCTTTTTAGAATCTCTGATACTAGTTAAGAAACGTTTTTCCACTTTTTATTTAAATCAAATTCTTTTTTTTTTAAATTTTATTTCATGTGTAAACTTGTATTTTAAGAATTGATATAATTTTTTGAGTAATGTATAAATAAGAGTAAAATTGTTTTTACTACTGGTTTTCGATACCATCATTAAAGTATTAAAGAGAAAAAGTTAATCCTTAACTTTGTTGCAGCAATTAAAATAAATTTATTACCCTTTTAAAAAAAGATTATTTTTTCCTAAGAATAAAAAGTATAAGTAAGGTTCAAATAAAATCCGTGAACGAAAAGTAGTTGTGAATTCAATTACTAGATTTATTGTCAAGAAACGCATTATCAAACTCAAACCAATGTTACAGTTACATTTTTAAAATGTTTATTAACCAATGAGGTAACCAAGGTGGTAAATGTTATCCACAAAATAAAAAAAATAAACATAAGTTCTAGAAGTACCTTATGAGAACATCAATTCTTTCCCATAAATCGTATCCACTCTGGCCAAGTGGGTAAGAGATTCTCCGGACCAGGATCAAATCCCCTTAGTGGAGGTAAGAGATGCTTTTTTTTGGTATTTACTAATTTATATTAGCTATTTCAACAGTTTTTATGTAGAAAAAATTTTAAAATTCACTGTGTATGTATGTAGATAGTAATTGAATGCATTTAAACAACTAATACACGAACTTTTATAAGAACTTACATAAGAAATTACATAAGATCTTATGTAAGTTTTTGGTTGATGAGCAAATGTAAGATCGTGTACAAGTTCTGACATAAGTTTTATTTAAAGAACTTGTATGAGAACTTATATAAGAACATATGTAAGAAATTACATAAGAAATTATATAAGAAATTCCATAAGAACTTGTGTAAGAACTTAAGACAAATTTTTAGCTGGGTAGAGGGGATAAAACGAAATGCACCAGTGCCCATGGTGTCGACTGAGTTGAACACAGAGGGCCAATAGGGCATTAAATGCACGTAGTTTGTAGATATCTTCAAATATCTAAAAAAGTGAGCATTTAATGGTAATACATACAGCTTAAAATATAGTGAATTGAATTATTAGTAAGCGCCTTTTTCTCCCATGTCAAACAGCACTGGCATTTTGTCATTACAGCCGTCAAAAGTTCGATTAACTCAGGCAAGAACTGTGCGTTGCGTCTGCTTAACCATACATGTAGCAACACTGAGAACAAAATACCGAGCAGACGCACCGTTTGGATAGACTATAGACGATATATACATCATACTCTCGCAGGCTCTTTCTACTTTCAACAACTGTTAAACGAAAACGTCGGCTTTGATTTACAAGGAATAAGAAGGAACTTACTTATTATTGAACTAGCAGCCCCCCGTCTCGGCTTCGCCCGAGACTTACTAAACGGAACACCGTAGTGTGTTGACATGTAATGAGACACGTTTTCAGTCAGAAATTTTACGTTTATTCCTGGCACTTTTTAGAACAAAAATCTTTCTACTAAAAACATATTTGTTCGCAATCCATACAGTTTATTTGGCTGTAAAAATTAAAAAACATATAATTATGCTGAAAAGTACCGTGCGTTCCTTATACCATAAAATAATCGTTGGCCATAAGGAGTGGTTGATTTGCAGGTTCTTCCGTGTAATTTACGTAAAGAGCCGTTTTTCAAAGATGTTAGGATTTTAAACTCCCAAAAACGTATTAAAAAAAATTATTTTTTCTCTTATCTCACAACTTTATTACCAGAGCAACAAAGTCCTGGAGCTTAATCTCTGCATTTTTCATTGCTACAAAAGTACAAATAAATTTGCTTCTTATTTAAAAACCTGAAATTAGATTTTTAAGGATTTAAGAGATTTAAGAGATTACTGCGAGGGTAAAATGAAGAGCTGATCTCTCACGTACTGGTCTGTTATTTGTCGATTTTGAGGCTGATGTTCCGATCTCGATAAATTTTCTGCGTCAGTTACTTGAGGCCTAAAATTGTATTCACTAGATACATTTAAAGTTTTCCTTCCAATTCACCCTTTTACGACTTTTGTGACCCTTAAAGGCTAGTTTCTGTCACTTTGTTACGTTCTAATATATTCGTTGGCAAGGTAGTTCGACGTCCGATTGCCCTGAAAAAGACCGGTGGGCTTCTTAAGTAGACTCTTTCTTGACTGAAGTTTACAGCAATTGTGACGGCCTGGATATCTCAGGGTGATATCCTCTGGCCTGCTGTTGAAGACCCAGACCGATCGGGAGAAAAATTACAAAGTTCGAAGCTTTGGAGCTAGTTGTAGAGATATTTACCAACGTCTCCTGGTATAACGCCGAAGACGTTGGTGTCTAAAGCACCTTTTTTTTGCAGACTCAGTTGTTTTGGTGACTCAAGGTGGAGAGATTGGTTTGTGACACTTGCCCGTTAGAGACTGTCCCGCTAGCTTAAGTTTTTCTTCCCTTCATAGCTGCTAAGTTTGCCTAAAGCAGACCTTAAAGAGGATCGGTGATTCCTGGTTAAATGGTTAGAGTCGAGAAGGTAACATAGGGTCGTCGGTCACCGGAGTTCACAGCCTTGCGACGAACAACTCCACTCGTGACGACTGCCAGTGAATGACTGTCTTGGTTTAATAGTGGCCGTCTTTTGTCAACATGTAGTCTTTTAGTCGACGAATCGCTTCCGCAAATGGTAGTAAAAATGTATTTGTTGGCAAGTTAGTTTAAACTTAGGTGGCCCTTAAAAGAACCGATGAGATTTATGGTTAAGTAGGGAACGTCAATGCTTACATTGGCCTTGAAAAGGGCTAGTGGTAAAATTTCCAGTCATTCCTTATTATTATTCTTGATGATGGAGAGCCAGCTGCGGTTAGCTTGACTCTTACCCTCAGACGGAGTCCGTACATGAGGGACGTACGCCGTTGATAAAAAAATATTTTGTCTTCGGGTTGTTCCCCGGATCACCAACCGCTCATCGTTAGTCGGAAAAATGTGGGGATGCCGTTGGGGACACGACCACTAAGAAAGAAGCCGTTATCGCTGCCCATGCCCCTCAGGGCTGTTTTCCCTGGCTTACATTTGTAGTGTAAAATTCTCTGACGGCACCAGGCCAGATTGTGGTACGGCCACATAACTCTGAAGGGTTAGAGCAGGATATGCTCTGGCTAGACACGTGTCCGGGTATTCCGCCAGAGACGTCATCGGTTATACTACATTTTCTATGGGTGGCACTCGTCAATCCTGGAGGTTCAGGATAGTAGGTCTACATTACTTACTCATTGGAGAAGAGCGTCATCGGTAACCGGGATACCCAGCTACACGACGATTATCTACATTCTCGATGCAGCTCGATGAATTGCGAGTAGACGACCGCATGAATTCCGCGACGCTCCAGCCTGTTATAACCACTCTTATTCAATTCTGTTGCAGGTAGCTTCGATTTTTTGCCGATGCCACCTAGCGGATCTTACTGAACTAAAGTGAAAAGCTGGCGCATTTTTGCAAAACCTTGAGCTTATTTATTGCTATTGTTATTAAATTTTTCAAGATAAAAACCATACTAAAACCATCTAGGAAGTGTCATGAATCAGTGAGTAAAATTTTAGCAAAATCGGTTCAGTAGTTTTCGCGGTTAGCGATTACAACGGTTTTAGCTACTTTGCTTTATATATTAGTAAGATTTCCTATAACTTTTACGCTTCATGTGTTACCATAATATGCTTAACTTTTAAGATATCCAAAAACATCTGTGAACTACGTAGATTTGATGCCATTGGCGTCCCCCCGTGGTACAAGCACTGACCACGAGCTAAGGGCACCACTTGCTATTCTTACAGCGAATAGGCACAAGAGTCAAGGAACTGAGCAAACATCAACTCAGTAAGAAGATTTATTAAAATAAAGTCTTTTTCACCATACTTTCGCCAAAAGTTTGCGTTGTCTCAGTTAATATGAAAACATTAACTATGAATACCTTTACTAAACTTAAGCTTTCATATTATGTATTTTCATATTATTCTGCTTAAAACTTGTTATCTGCTATTCTGTTATTCTTTGAATCCATGTAAACAATAGCTTTCACTGCTTTGCGTAGCAGTTAAAATTCACACGTACAAATACTCTACATTCATATTTATGTATAAAAATTTCTTCTACGCGACATCGGATAGTGATTTACTATTTTTTTTAGAACAGTGAAGAAGGATTGCAATGGTTTCATAAGGATTAAATTCCAACAAGATACACAAGTTTTGCAAATCACAGATCTAAATTTAGCCTGGAATCGTCACGATAGAATTAAGGTATCATAATTTTTTTATTCACCGTTATTATTACTAGTATTATTATTTTTTTTAAAGTGAAACATCTTATGGCGGGCAGTGAACAGCCATGTGAGGGGAAATATGCAACGAAAAGTCTGATCCACTCCTCCGTTGCTGTTCACCCTACCACTGAGCACTCCTCTCTCTGTCTCTCTAAATATATACATGCGGTAGAACGTATATGTCTATATATACATGTATACGGTAACTATATAACTATTGACGTGTAAATATAGCCTTTTTCATACTAAATATACTATTGTGCACTAGCCGTATATTACATGTATATAGTTTATAGAAGTTCAGTCAGAAATTTTACGTTTATTCCTGGCACTTTTTAGAACAAAAATCTTTCTACTAAAAACATATTTGTTCGCAATCCATACAGTTTATTTGGCTGTAAAAATTAAAAAACATAATTATGCTGAAGAGTACCGTGCGTTCCTTGTACNTGTATCTTTATGTAATTAAATATCATATATTTAATGCATTTAGCGTATACATATATTTATATATAAGAATACGAGTGAGCATACATTACAAAAAAATTTTCAAATTTCTCTGAATCCGAGAATCGAACCTCTAAACTTTGAATTGGTAATCAGGGACCTTATCCATTATGCTACGCATCACGCAGACCTGATTTCTGT